ATAACGTTTTACAGAGCATATTGTAAAAGCTCTCTAATGGCAAATTTGTGATTCAGAATGCTGGACTATATACATAACAGACTTAATCAGAATATTAGCTTCCTGTTAACCTAACCTTTTCCCAGCTAGAACAAATCTACAAGTAAGTGCATGTAAGTGGAGTGACAAATGCCACATGGCTAAATTTTTTACAGCATGTGTGATGCCGTCACTGATCTCCCAGTTCTTAGCTGGGACTCTTATGACTTTGAGTCAATCCAAGATTCCGTCAATATAACACGTGAAAAAAGCATAACAGTAAGAGCTACGCAACATATGCATGCTTTAATAATAACCTCCACTCTTTAAGCTTCGGATTTTCCACAAGATATTGGAACCTAGTTGCACGGATTTGTTCTCAATCACCGTCCAAAGACGAAGAGAATTAATAAATCTTTAGCTCAATGACAGCTTCCCAGCTTTTGGATGGGGTCTTGGTTAGACCTCTGAGAAGGCTAGTCAAGTTCTTCTAAACCAAATTGAGTTTTCTGTCATATATACACTGGACAGAATGGAGAAGAAAGATGACTTTGAACATGGCGTAGCTGTTTTCACCAGAAGGGCTGATCTGAGTATTTCAGAAACTGCAAAGATTTTCCCACAAAACCATCTCTAGTTTGTTCCAAAAAGAGAACATATCCAGCGAGAGACAGTTCTCTGGGAGAAAATGCTTTGTTGAGACATACATACAAACACATGCAGAAAAGCACAACACAGCCAACCTTGAAGTGGATTGGCTACAGCAGCAAAGAACCACACTAGTTGTCACTCATATCAGCTAAGAATAGGAAACTAAGGCCAAAATTCACATGGGCTCACCATAATGACATTGACAGTGACGCTCGGATGGTAGGGTCAGAAGTTGGCATAAATAGCATGTGAGCATGGATATATCCTGCCTTATAAACAGTTCAGCTTGGTTGTGGAGGTGGTTTAATGGACTGGAGGATATTGAGCATTGTTTAATGTTACAGCCTATCTTGGTAATGTTGCTGACCACGTTCTTTAATTTGGGATCACAGTCTACCAATCTTCTGATGGCTCCTTCCATCAGGATAAGGTCACAAAGTTAAAATAGTCTCAAACCGGTTTCTTGGACCAGTTTAGGTTCATTGTACTCGAACTGCAGTCACTTTCAGATTGGTGAAGGCTTCCACAGCCACCAGATCTCAATCTAATAGAGCATCTTTGGGGTGTAGTGGAACGAGAGATTCACATCACGAATGTGCAGCTGACAAATACGCAGAAACTGTGTGATGCTATCATGTTAATATGAGCCAAAATCTCTAAGGAATGTTTTCAGCACCTTCATGCCATCACGTATAAAGACATTGCTCAAACCATACTGTGGTCCAAGCCTAGATTTGCAAGGTGTACTTAATAAAGTGTGATCTAGCTTGATGGTGCATGCATATGTTACACGTGACCAGAGAAAACAACTCATTTCATACAGAGAATAAACTGTACCAAGCCCTAACTGTATAAATTAAATATGGATTATTTTGAACTGTGAATTATCCAGAGATACTCCACTAGAGTCCAAGGGTAAAAATATGGAGATAGAAAGCATGATAGCCCCCTTAAAGGACCTCATACAGAGCAGGAGGAGCACGGCCATGCTCAAACAAATTGTTTGTTTAGAGCACAGAGCAAGAAATGCTGAGTCATAAAAGCAGCAAGAACTGCAGACAGTATTTCTGCAGAAATTAAACACCACATTCTGATATCGGTTACTCATGTCCACCAGATCTCTTTTACAGGATGGAATTATCCTAAGACCAGCCAAACCCTTCCTAAAATGATACAGTCATCTATATATTAATATAGCCGTAAACATAATCAGCTGACTTCCCTTCTCCCGCTATAACACCATCACTCCTACGAAACTGTAAGCTGATCTGGCTTTTCCGACAAAGGAAGGTCCCATTAGCACCAGCTGGGGCTACCCATGGGAACGAGGAGGAAAAAAGTTGTCCCACCCACACCACACACCATAACATTACTCATGAAACATTCACATCCTTATGTGGCCTGGACGATCACGCCAGTCTCCCATTGGCAGAGAAGAGATCGGCCCAGAGCAGGAGACAAGATTCTATTGGTGTGGTGCGAGCATGAGTGATGACAGGACGGCGGGGAGGCTGGCGAGGTTATTGGATCAATCGATCCAGGTCCTTCGCAGACCACACAGATGAGGGCAAGGGCAAGTGCTGCAGAAATTCAGAAGATGGCAGTTCTGGGGTAAATGCTAGCAGTTACAAGTTGTATTGTGTCATTACAAATACATGTACAGTTATTGAGCAGAAGTAAATTTAGTGAGCAGCTTATTTTGCCCACTTTGTGCTTTCGTCTTTATCCCTGTGGACAAATATTGCAAAATCACAGGGTGAACTGCTCCCAAAAGAATTACTACTCAACTATTCAATAATCGGCCTCTGGGCAACCACTTTCAATCACAAGGCTCAGTTGGTTTGTATTCCCACTTTTTTCTATTTTAAATCTGACATTCTATCTGGATGGAACTAGTTAATGTGAATTTCTGTGTATACCGATGACGCCATCATATTCCTATGTTATTGCCACCTTGATTGACCTTTTGTTTTGAGGACAGCCATTGATTGCAGGTGCTTGCTTATCTGGTCCCCGTCTTTGAAACAACCATTTCAAGGGGAATGATTTCAGAGGTTCATTGTAGAATGACATACATCTTGGGTGTCCCACTATCTCCAATCAGCATTTTCTCTAGACTGACTGTAGTATAAGGCAAGATTTAATTTAAAAAAATAAAATACATTGACAAATCAGAATGTGTGTAATCGTTAAATGTTGCTGCTCAATTTACACTGGATGTGAATATTTTGGGGTGATTTTTGCACTGTAAACCAAATATTACAAGTGTGATCATGGTGTGTCAAAACTGCTTTAATAAATAGGTAGGATGATTATTTAAAACAATGAAACACCCTTTTTGCTTTGTACAAAATTAACGCATGTCCCTTGTACAATAAAATGTATACAATATGCATATTCAGCTTTTAACACCAGCAGTGATGCAGCTTTAATTGTTTATTTTGCTGTGTCCCATTTACAGAAATACAATGGCGTTTTGAGACAATGACATGATATGAAAAGGGGTAAAACTGTTTAAACTGAGTTGGTAACTTAAAACACATTTGCATGATGGCAAAGAAAAATCTGCATCTGCAAACATTGTTCCCTTCATTAAAGCCTTGAAACCAAGCTAATGCTAATGCAAGATGTCCACATTTGACCCAACATCCACATTCAGAACTCTAAACTGCCAAGAGTGGACTGGTTTTTCTTTTGTTTTTAAACCATCCATCTGTGTTTTATTTTAGAAATCTCCATGACAGTAAAGTGACAGCAGTGCACTTTACTCAAGCGAATAAAGCACACCACACTACACAAGATGTCTTACCTGCCTTAATAGTGGAACAACATCAACAAAACAAAAAAAACAAACAAAAAAAACCCCCAACAACATAACACGACCACTGATAACACAAACAATGCATTGTTACATTAAGGCACCTGAAATAAAAGGGTTTGTGATGGGTTTATAAATGGTTTGGAAACTTGTTAAGGCTATAGTATTGGCAGCTTTTAAAAAAGAAAAGAAAAAAGAAGAAAAGAAAGACAAAAAAAAAAAGAAAAAAAAAAAAGAAAAAACCACAATGAAAAAGAAAGCAAAAGAGCGGTTTGACCATAATAGCAATATGATTTTCTCTACAGCACTTACAAATAAATAGCAAGTAACTCTTAGGGCTAACAACAGTTAAGAGCAAAATTAAAGCATTTATAGTACATTTTCCTACAAAATAAAACATCCAGGTTATGCTTCCTACTTCTAACTTTGCCAATCGTGTATACACCCCCCTAAAAAAAACAAAAAAACAACAACAACAAAACACTAAGGGAAGCTAATATTGAGACTGCATGCTAGACTGAAAGAAAAGCCAAAATAACATCAATGACACGAACAGGATGCCTACTGATGCCTCGGCCCTGTGAAAGTTATTCTATCACATAATGTAAAGGTGAAAAACCAAAAACATCACTTTTTCTTTAATATTTCAAAACACATATTAATACCCCCCCCCTCCCCCTCAAAAAATAGACACCATTTATAAACCCTTCATAAATTCCTTCATAGGTGGTACCTCATTGTAAATGTTCTTAACCCTTAACTGCGGGACTCTGAGTATTAAGTGTTATAAAACCTGCCTATTTGGACTGGCATTAAATAAAAGGAATGGCGTTGTAAAAAAAAAATAAAAATAATATTAATCATAATAATAATAATAATAAAAATGTGTGACTTGTCTTTTAAGTTACTTATTTCAAATATACACAGCGACTCCTTTAGTATTTACATGTATGTACAGAGTATTCATTTCTGCTTTGATCAAATACCTTGAATGGCGTTGCTGTGAAATTGAAGTCTAAATGTACACATATCCCTTTGAGATTTGAGAACAAGGAGGTCAAACTGGGCAGCGCAACTTGGAGCCTGAACGCAGCTCTTAGAAAGGCACTTGCTACCAACTCAAATACTGCAAAAAATCGTCAAACAGAGCTTTCAGCCAAGAAAACGAGACAGGAGAAAAGGAAAACAAACAAACAAAAACAAGGAAGGCCACATAGTAGGCACTGGGGTTTCTGCCCCCTCTTCCCCTCCAGGCCAAGTGTTTTTGGTAAGGCTGGCGTGTGACGGCCACAGGTGGGCAAAGCTGGAAGGAAACTAGAGCAAAGGGAGAGTTTCCCCTGTTACTGTGAATGCAACAACAGTCCATGTCTCTAAAACCCTTCCCTTTCTCTCCCTTTAATGTGCATCTGCCCCAACAGACACTGAACAGGAACCCACTGATAGTTTAACAAAATCATACTCATCTGTAAACAAAACAAACAAAAATAAAATCATTATACAGCCTGTTTTTTTCCCCCCTCAATCCATATCAGTGACTCACCATTTACCAACAAGTCCATAAACATAAATTGCAAGAAGCTTCTTTTGCCTCCTGAAATATCATTACATCTCAGCTCCTGTGTACATGTAAAGGAAAATAAGGTAACAGAATGAAAAAAGGATGTTCACTGTGCTCTAGCCCTCCTGAATCAAAAATCACTTCAGGTGACAGTGACGAAAACATGAAAATGAAGCAAACAATGGCTTATATAAACAAAAAGCATTTTTTCCTTTCTTTCCAAAAATAGTCCAAACTAAAAATATTCACTGCCTTGCAGCTTCTCTTGCTTCCACACTGCAACTCATTTGTTTATATATATCTCATACACAATAGTCTCTGAGGTCTTTCTGACCAGTCAGGACCGCACTGACATTTTTCCAGCGGTTGTCTTTGGGACTGTAGCCTGGGGTCCGGTGGGGGGCTTTGAGAGGTGAACTGGAGCTGTGCATGGTGCAGATCACTCCTCCACTGGGCCGCACTGCAGTTTTAGAGTACTTATAAACTAGCTGCTTTCCCGCCTCTGCTCCACTGCACTCCTCCTCGAGCTCAAGCTCGCCTTCCGTCTCCTCCTCCTCCTCATCATACGTCCGACAGGAGGGGCCCATGAGCTTTTTGCGCTCCTGCTCAGCCTCCCTGTTGCTTTCTTTCAGCTGCTGCTGCTCCTGCTGACGTCGCACAACGATCCGCAGTGGCTCCCACTGGTTGTTGACGCTGTCGTCGGCGGCTGATCGGGAGGTCCTCTCGCGCTCTTTTCTCCGTTTGCGTGTCCACCAAACACATACAATGATGCAGAAGAGGCAGAGCAAACAAAAGGCGACACATAGTAGAGGCACCAGGTAATCTGTTGACATCAACATGGAAGGAAATTGTAGAAAAAGTAAAGTCAGTAGGAGTGCGACGTCAGCAATAACTAAAAATGGCTGGTCCTATGAAACCATTGTGCAACATTTGCGTTAATCATTCCTTACCCACTGATGGACGCATGACCTGGGTTTCCACTTTGACCTCAATGACTGCCAGCATTATGGTGCTATTGTGCCGCTTAGACAAGGTGCCCACAATGGCACTGGCTGTCTCCTGGATCAGACTGTGGTCAGGTAAATCCTCTGGATGGAAAGACTGAGAACCAAATCAAAAAGAAAGGAAGAGAAAAGACACCATGAAGTCCCAACCAAACATCTTATTGAGTGTGCCACTTGGGTTGTATGGTAGGCACTGGCTGTTTGTGTATTTTATGCCCCCACCCATAAATCTGTGTCAATCAAGCTTGGTAAAATCTCCAACATGAGCTAGAATAAGGTTGTTTTAGAAGGCAATGGAATAATCACCACTCTAATTCAATTTTACTTACTATAGCCACCTCTACAGCATCCTGATTTGAATGAGAGAGATCACAGAGAAGGAGAAGAGCGTGGTCTCTTGCCAAGTGTCTAGTATCAGGAAGATACCTCAGCTCAAAACAGATATTCTCCACTGTTGTTCCCTGTAGATATACACAAAAACCCAAAACGCATCAATCAGAAGCAACACAAAAAGTAGTTTAAACGGTTCAAAGCGATATGTGGCTGATTACTCACCGGCGGTACTTTGTCTCTGTTGAAAACGAGTGTTATGCGGCCGCAGCTGTTGTCCAAATGGCCGCTGTTTGGCTGGCACTTGGTGGTTACATGTGGAGGTGGAGGTCCAACCATTGAACAAACCCCCCACTGATGACAAGGGGGGGAGAAGCAGGTGAAGTAGCTATGCTCCAGACATTCTTGTCCAGCCGGACAGGACTTGTCACGGCCCGATGACTCGAGCCGGCACGGACGGCGACCACACAGCACCTGGTGTTACAAGGTCAAAATATTCACTTAGACGTGAGACAACATTCGCATTGCCATTTCTTTCTTGCGTCACTTGTCACCATGTTAAAATATCACGTGGGAGTGTGACTTCATATGAAAGCATTTTCATTCATGCTTCTGGAAATATTCCCTTGAATATAATATCCATTGTGAACTCAAAGACACAGAATGGAAAAGCTAATAACAGGATATCAATCAAACCATCTAAAAATAGCACAAGTCCTGGAATCTGTTCAAAGGTGCGAAATTAGAGTACCTTGAAGGCTAAACTCTAATCATAGGCGGTTATTTAACTTTAGGGTCCAGGAATAAGATAAACACGATGAGCTCTTAATCAGAACGCCGTTTTGATGGTAATTAAGTCTCTTACCTTTGTACAATCCACCTTGCCATCGAGGCAATGGCAACTGTTGCACTCCTCCTCCCAGTGGCTGCCATGTGGAAACTGCAGCCCAGTATAGTGGCAAGTTTTCCCAACGCCTATGACTATAGATAGGAAGAAAGAACCATGATGCACTTATGGAACAGTTTTAAAATCTCCAGCTGTCCTCCTGCAGCTCTCCTCTCTGGTCTAAGCCCCTTGCAGTATAACGACATTCGTAATTGCATGTCATAACCAGACAGTGAAAGCCCTCAGCTTAAACCACTGTGCCACTGGAGCGCATTCAATGCAACACTTTGTTTTTAAGATACTCCATGGTTTTAGCCAATAATGTAAATCTAAAGGAGGTGATTTCATCCTGAAATCACTTAAATTTGAGCGTGCTTACACTCTTGGCATCTGGCTCCTCTTCTTCCACGTGGACAGATGCATCGGAAACTATTGATCTCATCCACACAGGTGGCTCCATAGGCACAGGGTGAAGACTGGCACTCGTTTATGTCTACAAAGAGGAAAAACACCACAATTTAAGACAAAATGTTAAACCATTAGTTAGGTCTACGAGTCTTCCAAGCTCCCTGAAAGTTGATGTTTTAAGTACTTTGAGCTACTGGGAAAAAGTTGACATCTTAAAACAAGACGTGGCCTTCTTATGCCTTTTTTGCAACCAGTCACCATTGGCTGTGCATTGTCTGTAGAACAACATTTATTTAACAAAGTTAATTCAAAAAGATAGAAAATAACTATAAAAGTCACATTTTCCCCCACTTACAATCATATCTATCGCATTTGATGCTTTAGGGGGAAAAAACAAACAAACAAAACAAACAAAAACCGCCCCCCAATAACAACCCCCCACCCCGAAAACAGCCAGTCAAAACTAAAAACTTCCAAAAAGTGCAAAATAAAAATCACAAAGCCTCGCCTCCCGTGTCAGTGGGAACCTCCAGGCCATTGTCACCCAGATTTCACATGAACATGTCTGAATGAGAATTTTCAAATTTAAGCCCCAGAAAAAAGGTGAAGGCTATCCGTCCAAAACAAAGGAGCAGAAAAGAAGAATTTCGGGGTCACTGGGTTATTTGTCTTCAATGTGTGAATATGTGACTGTGTGAGTACGGAGGAGGGATGACCTTTGACCCCCCCCCAAGGCGTTAAAGGACTAACAGAAAGTGAGAGGGGTCTGTCTCGGTCTCACATTTAGGTGTCAATACAGCCATCTTTTTCCACGCCCTATACTTTTTTCCACCCCTTGTTCCATGTAGCAATCCTCTTAATCATGTTCTCATCAGGAATATCATTGCGGTTGGTTTTAGCCATCACATCCAAAATCGGTTCATCTTAACCTCATGTCATCACTCACTGATTCTGCAGTCAGGTCCGGCGAAACCGGGGGCGCACTCGCACCGGAACCAGTTGACTCCGTCCACGCAGATCCCACCATTGTAACTGAGGGAGCAAAGAAACTGACAGTTCGATGAGGCCGTACATCCTTTCCAGCTACAACAAAGTACATCGATTGTGTGCCTTTGTAGGGGGGGTGGGGGGTGTCACAAGACTCAGTTCAACCCATCAATACAAGCCTCCACCTTTCAAATGCTAATAGGTGTGTCCAGTTCCTCCCCTCCCCTCATCAGGCCTTCTTCCATTCCTCCTCAAAAGCCAAGCTTCCCCCCCAGGTCGCACGGAAAGAATGGACACGTACACCCCCCTCTGCCATTCTACCCCCCACCTGCATTCACCACAGGGTAGGTGGGACTCTTGTCCTCCCCACAAAACTCCCACTTCTCACTGTCCTATTCAATATTTGAGCCCCCTCCTCTGCGAGATGCCCTTTGAGGCTTGATTTAAGGACAACTTCCACTGCTTTAGTGGCCCTTCACCCCTCTAGCCTGTAAGGTCTGAGTAAAGCGTGGAGATGAAGGAGCCAGGGAGGTGTGCAAGGAAAGAAAAATGTTACATACCATGGATGAGGGTCGCAGTCGTTTGTATCTGTTGAAGAAAAGAAAAAGTAATATATCATCTTTGTTGCATACATGTGGCATGCTACCCCCCACATCTGAATTGACCGAAGTCTATTATTTATATGCATGTAATGCAGCAATAATCCCAGCCTAATAAGATCATGGGTTTCAAGCTTTTGTTACTTGGAAACTTTATAATAAAACTTAAATGTCCCATTGCAACAGATTTCACCTCTACTTCAAAAACAGTACACCCAACACAATTATGGTGATTTTACCGTCAGTTATATTTAAAGTTATACAGTAAAACTAACTTTGTCCACAGGTGGGGCCTTCCCAGCCCTCTTTACAGATGCAGGTGAAGGTATCGCCTCCTCCCACACAAGTCCCTCCGTTAGAGCAAGGACTGGAGGCGCATGTGCTGTTCTTAGCTATGGAAAGAGAGAGTGAGTCACGAGGTGCACTAGACTGTCAAAACCCAAAAGAGCAACACATACACAGGTATATGATTCCAAGCAGTGGAGCAAGTGGGTGATACTAAACTACCGGGAATAAGGTTACAGGTTTCCTACACATAAACTTACCGTACAGTCCCTATAGACAGTTATTTTAAGTTCTACCAGCCTATATTTATCATCATTTTATTAATTTTTTAGCAACAGGCTTGAATAATTACTTGTTACCTGAGTGTTTGTGAAAGGCGAGGTAATTTGGGACATGCTTGTCCCACTAATTCCAGCCAGCCTTTAAATTAGCTAAAAGTAAGCTCTCAGGGAGGTCCTCCTTGGAAGGCTAATACCATATTGGATTGTCTGAATCATCCACTCCATATGGCGGTGTAGCTTCTGCCCTCAGGTTATCATGCAAGGTCAACCGTTTGGTCTCTCATGAGTGCGATTCAGATATTTATAATGAGTTCTATTCTGCAAAAAAATGGGTACTTTGCTCACTTGTTATGAATTTTCATTTCTCACTTTTTTTTTTAAATGCTAAACTGCTGATGCCATTTTCTTTGTCATGTTTACTGTTTCTATATGAACCTAGAAAAACAGGACCGTCACCAGAATCCAAAACCTCATCCGATTAAAACATTTGCCAACTTTCTCGTCAACCTAAAATTGGCTCACCGATCAGACAGGATTAAACTGCTGAAATGCGACACCAACAATGGAAGCCGATCAGAGGTGGCTGTTCTAAGAGTTACGTGGTTATTAAAAGATATGCCAAGTCTTGCAAATTTGCAGCAATCACTGTAGCCCGTTTTACTCTGAATCTAACCAATCGAGACTAACACAGCTGGTTGTTTCTCAGTTCTTTTCAAGAAGTGAAGGGGTATAAGACTGCATGACATTTCTTTAAGGAAGGGCCAACAGACATCCCATCTATTACTCCAAGTTTGCCCACCATAAGGTTTATGAGTGAAAGACAATCATGCTCCATCTCCTACACTTAGTTTTAAAATACAATAATGTCAGTAATATAACGCATCAGAAAAGTTTCTGATAATCTTACAAGTGGATGTTTCCTGTCAATTTGTGACAGTTTCTTATTAACATGATTAACATTTACTTATTCACCTATAAGGAACTGCAGTTGGTTTAAAATCAGGGCTGATTAACAGCCAAACTTTTTCATCCTTGAATCCATCATTAGCATTACTCTGGCTTAGCCTCACCCACACACATTTCTCAGCTTGTTCAGAGGGTTAAGGTTAGGCCTGGCATTGTGTCCATTAATGACAATTTAAGCCAGTGACGGAAACAGCCCATTTCATAGTTATGAAAAGCATTAAGAGCTCCCAGCAACTACAAATGTAGCCGTAATGATTGGTCCATGCATCGTCTGTTTAGTGAAGGCAAAGCAGAGCAAAAAGCATTCAGTAAACATTTTAAAGTTTTTGGATTTCTGACAAAATCTCCCGTAAAACTAAGCCATTAGCTTCCTTAAACCTTAACGTATTCCGTTTCTGCCTCACCTGTGTTGCACATCTTTCCTCCCCAACCAGGTGGGCATGCACAGCGGAAGGTATCCCCGTGGTCATTGCAGGTTCCTCCATTACTGCAGGTGGTTTCATCACACTGGCGCTCACCTGGCAAGAGGAAATTAATTAATAATTGGTGTAATCCAATAATGATATAAATGTAGACATCAGTTTACAGTTTCACAGCTGTAAAAATACACAAAAGGTGGAGCTGGAACTACTGGGAGCTGTGAACATAAACACACCCATTAACACATAGGCAGAGAACTCACGGGAATGGCAGGTCTTGCCCTTCCAGTTATCGGTGCAGTTGCAGTAGAAGTCGTTTACCAGGTCGATGCACTGTCCACCATTCTTACAAGGATTGTGTCTGCACTCGTTGACATCTGAGGAAGGAGGAAGGTTTCTATGATTCAAGTGTTTCATTCACTTTTGCATAAACTGTGGCGTGTTTGGTACAAAGCAACGCAGTGGTGGCAGATTCTTTAAACCAGCCGTGACTTTGTGTTTAAGAAGGACACAAAGGCTAGCGGGAAATCACTCACTGTGGTCACAGAGCTGGCCCTCCCATCCATCAGGACAAACGCACTGAAATGAGTTCACTCTGTCAACGCAGGTTCCCCCATTTCTGCATGGGTTGCCTATGCAGTCGTTAATATCTAAAATAAAAAGAAAATGATATGACGTATATAATGATATACTGAAAGGGTTAAAAGAAAAGAAAATACACCCCAAAATGAATTACAGACCACACAGCACCTCCAGAATCTGAAAGCTCAAGTCTCTACGTACTCTCGTGACAGTAGATGCCACTGAAACCCGGATCACAGACGCAGGTGAAGTTCCCGGCTGGCTGGCTGATGCAGCGTCCTCGTGCGCCACAGACATTGGAGGGTATGTTCTGTATGCCATCCGAGTCATTGGTTGCAACAGCAATGCTGCAGCTGTCAATAGCTGTCAAAAAAACAAAAAAAAAAAAAACAAGTTTCAGGTTTAGTGTTTTCTCATATTATCGATCTATTCCAGCCTTTTCCCCCCTGCAGATTCCTTTAGCCACCTTGACATGGAGTGGTTTGGCAATCCTCTTTGAGCCTTTCACACATCTTTCCTTCGTAGCCTTCAGGACACGCACAGTAGAAGTCCTGTTCCATGCTATGACACTTGGCCTCATTCTCACAAGGGTTTGGATCACAGGCATCAGAAGATGACGAGCTTGGGATCTTTGGAAAAAACAGAAGGGGGGGGGGGGAAGGACAAACAAAATATACACATTAAAAGAGTGACTGTTCCAATTATAAGACCAATGATGGGGGAAAAAAAATCAATAAATAAAAATCACTCAGTAAACATAGTCCATCATCTTTACACAGCCAGGTATCTTCTTCAGGTGATGATGGAGACCAAGAGGATCTAAAGCACTATATGTTAAAACAGTCCATTTGTATTCACCAGGTCATTGCAAGCACAAATGTTGAGGATGCTTCCTCAAACTAACAGCCTGATGTTGGACACAAAAACCCCGGCAAACAATACAGTAAACTGGTGTGACTTAGTACACTCAGCAAAGTTTTCTTCAACAAGTGCTCACGAATTGTGGGGTGGTAGAGCAGATCAGCTACTAACTGGAAGGTTGGTGGTTCGATCTTTGGCTTCCCCAGTCTGCATGCCAAATATAAATCCTTAGGCAAGATACTAACCCCAAATTGCTCTCTGATGTGCCCATCGGAGTGTGAATGTGTATGAATGTTGGTTAGATTGTACTTGAGTATAGAAGGAAATGCTTGTATGCACACTATATCAGTCCGTTTTACGGACAAAAGAGTTTCTAAGTGGTAGAAAACATTATCATCACATTAAACTGCCTATGATAATAAAGCAATCAGGCCAGCTGGAGTAAGGACAGCTAAAGTCTGAAGGTGAGCAGCTTAGCTTGGCTCAAGCCTCTGCGATTATGAACAAACTGAGTAAGTGGACGAGCAATGTAAGCCTCAGAAACTTTTACTAAGCTCATCAACAGAATCCATGCTTTCGGTTTTACATCTCTGCCCTGCGTTATCATTCAAGATTATTTTGAGAGGAGTCAGAATGCGAAACGGAGCAGGCAAAAGAACGGCTATCCATTATGAAGCTGGTTCCACATCATGCAGAGACAAGCGAACACATAAATATAAATCCTCTGACACAGAGAGAAGCTGCCTAGAGGTCAGAGTGATAACTTCAGCCATTTATACATACGGCATTTCTGGGATTGGACAGAAAATCTTTCAGTTCCTATAAACAGAGCATAACTGTGCATAAACTCTGGGTTGCAACCCGTTGCCATTTAAGGTGCTGAAAAAGGGAGATGGAATTGGGCAACGGGGTTGGTGAAGTTTGTGGTCACACACAGTTTATTTTAAGTGTCAGGGCCAGACTTCTTTCTTTAGTATTTGCGCGTGTGTGGTCAGGGAATCACGTCTGAAGGTAATAAATCTGCAGAACATCACTGTTAACTGCTTGTGCTGTCCAGAGCACAAAAGTCATTGTTAATGCAGCAGGCGAGAGCCCAGAATTTAGTGCGTTTCATTGCATAATTTATTTTTGCTGTGTCTAGCCAGACTTTTTGGCGATCGCTTAGATCACCCACATGTCCTCTGTGAATAAAAAGGGTCCAATTAAATGTAGATTGCCAACTGAGGACTCACATTTTACTGACCCCCTCTTTTCTTTCTTTGTTATTCTCAACTCGTATCCATGTTGTCCACTTGTCATCAAGTTTTCTACAGGAGACAGAGGCTCTCGTCACCAGCACCACCCGGGCAAGTTTAAGCGAAATTGCAAGATGCACCATTTCAAGTGGTCATAACTTGAAAAGTTGGCTCTGAAGAGAAAACTGGCAAAGGTTAAATCGGGTATTCCTGGAAGTTTTTTGTTATTTTCCCTTTTTTCTTCACACCTCTAAGATTGTTTAGATGCAAGTTGCCCATTTTTGGATATCTCTTGCTTTAGAGATGTTTGCTTTCGCGTGAATAAAATCTCACTAGATGGCATTCACCGTGTTGCGAGTAGTTTCATGTAGGATATTATCTTTCTATTGCACTACATCCACCAGAGGTATAATTGTGCAGATGGAGGCGGGCATCCACCTGGGTCCTGCTGATGTCAGCGTGTAATGATTAGAATTTCTTTCGTTTATCATTATTCAGCAGCTGGTACCTCGCGATCTCAATTAACTCTGAGATAATTTAATATATTGCTTAATTTCCATAACAAGAGTCTTTAAAAAAAAAGAAAAAAAAAAAAAAAAGAAAAAGCATTGGCCAATCAGATCACCAAGATATTTAGGAACCATGAATGGATTTCAAGGCAGCAAATATGAGATTTCACGCTGGGACCTAGTGCTTGACCGACTAAAAGTGATATTCGCAGAGTCACACTAGTAAGTGTTCTTGAATATAAAAAGATAAAGCTCTTTTTTGCTTGGCCCCTTAAGTAAATTCACAAAATTCACTAAATTTAAGCATGTCTACTACCATAAAAGTAAATGCATCATATTTGTCCCCTGTAGCCTTTTCTCTGTACCCATTTTCTCTGAAGACATGAAACACCGAGGCAAACATGACATTGATTAATCCAGTAAGCACTTGATTGTGTAGTCACAATCTAATCAGAGAAATACGATGCTGGAGGCATTGTAGTTTTGGCACTGCGGGGTAGGACTATATGGCCCTGCAACAGCAGGCATTAGAGCTCTGTAGTATGCGGGCAGAAATCCAGGGTCCCCTCATTCAGAGAGGCTCATATTTATAGTAGAGATGCTAAATCAGGATTGGCTCCTGACCAGCAATGTCCTCCATTCAGGGCCCCAAGAGATGCAGCTGAGTGTCGGTTTCCTCACTGCTAACCTACATTCAAACACTCGCTTCATACATGAAGGGCTGCAGCAGGGACACCAATATGTGGCATCTTTATGAAATAAAAGTATGAATTAAGAGAAGTTGCCCTGTGACGTGGACTTGGCTTGCAGGGTTGGAGGCTGACAACATTGCACGTTTTGGCAGATCACAGCAGCGATTTGGCACGTAGGAGAGTTTAATTATCTGCTGGATCAGATGACTATTGTGTTATGGCTTTTTGGTTGTCTTTATAGCTTAGGGCAATTTGTATACTGTAGTTTCTAGTCCATCTTAATGACACTTACATCCCAATTCATGGGCTGCTTTGCTTCACAACATGTTTTCTAGCATCCAACTTCACAGGAAACCATTTCCCCATCAGTGCTGGTACAATTGCACATGATTAGTCGCTATGATGGCATTTTGTTAATGTTCTACGTTTACAGAAGATCTGTGAAACAAACAGATCACCTTTTACGGTCATGATACCAGGTTATAATAAGAGATATCATCTCCTGATTTACATGCATATAACCACAAAGCATTTGCGGTCACATTTTATTTGTAGTGTGAACAACCAGACAAAAAAAAAAAAAAAAAAAAAATCGGAATTGAGCATTAAGACCTGCAGTGTGAACGTAGCCTTAGACCTCCAAGAAAACACCCTGAACTTAAGTGGACATAACATACAAACTCCACAGGTCCTGGACCCCTAAGCCTGGGGTGGGGAACTCAAGGGCCGGTGTCCTGCAGGTTTTAGGTATCGCCCTGGGTCATCACAACTGAATCAAATGATTAGTTCATTCCCAGGCTTCTGGAGAACTTCAGGACATGTTGAGGAGGTAATTCCCCCAAACCCTGTCCCAAGCACTAAAGAGCTCAAGTTAAGGTAGTGTGTGAAACTTCTGGTTTTGGATCGATCAAATAATCAACGTTACTAATTTACAAGCGTTTGTTGAAACAAACTTTGAAAACGTGAAATTGTGAAAACCAAAAGTGTGCCTTGGCAAGGCCAACAAGTCCAGAAATGTGAAAGGCAGTAAAGCACTTTACACAAACCATACATCCTGCATGATATTGGTTTATGGAATTACAGCAAAAACAGGTTTCGCCTCTCATATTTTATACCACAAGATGTAATAAAGGGTTAGTCAGCATCTCACAGCAAAAATTAATAAATGAAGCCTACTGCTACGTTATGTATTGCAGTTGTTCACTGGCAGAACCTGGGTAACATGAGACTCACCTCACACAGCTGTCCAGTGAACTGCGGTGGGCATTCGCACACAAAGCTGTTCAACACAGCGCGGCAAGTTGCTCCATTCTTGCACTGACCGTGGCAGGCACTGGTATCTGAAGAGGAAGACAACAAGAATGAGCAAGTTTCCTGAAAACATACATTTTAAAAATGCTACTCTACTAAAAGAGTGAACGATGCGCTATCAGTTGTGCATAGATTAAGTAAAAGTTAGGAAAAGAAAAAAAATAAACTAGTGAAGTGAGAAGGGTGCCAGATAGACTCTTATGTAACTGGGCATGCATAACACAGCTGGAGTTTCGGTTTGCGAGACGAGAAAGGAACACGTTGCCACACGTGTGGAAAGTAAGCGGTGCCAAAGTACACCTAAGCTGTGCATCCAGAAAGTGAGGAGGAGACATCCGAGAGCAGCCAGAAGAAGAGTTATCGATTTAGGAGAGACTTTGAAGGGAGGAATACTGACTGATGCCACAGTTTTGTCCGGACCATCCCCGAAAACAGCTGCAGTGATATCCGCCAATCAAATTTTTGCAAGAGTAAGCGTTCACACAGGGCTGTCTTGCACACTCATTCGCATCTGTGAAGGCAGGAGTAAGGAGTCAATCAATTGAATGAAACCAGAGAAGGGACAAGAAGATGGGCAACAACCCAGCAATCCAGCTTTGAAGGCCTGCTGGCACCTGCGCTCTTGTATAATCGAACACTCAGAAGTTCGAGTGAGGTAAAGTTCGAGGAATAAAGAGTTCATCAAAGAACAGTTTAAATAATGAGGATTTTTGGTCAACTTCTGAGTTCCAAAACTTTATGAACATCTAATATTTAATGGCTCAAGTGCCTTAATTCTTAAGTTTTTTTGTCCAGTTTGTGTCAACAGAGTACTGCTATAAAATTACCTGCCTATTATTGGAATTCAAAAGCACAAAATTTGATATAAATATATTCATTCTTTTCAGTTTCTTGACCAATGAAAACATTGCTGGTTAAGATCAGGTGGAGCGGTCTCATAGGCTCGCTTCTGTACCCACAGAGTTCTCTCCACTTTCAAAGCTATAGTCTTCAGACCGAAAATGACGCAGGCTCAGGCGACAACACCTCAGGCACTGTATCAGACTTCACACAGCTTTAAGCGCCACAAACAGCTTTATTCAAGCCTTTACTCCACAATACATAGAAACAAACTTTGAAGAGTAAAAGTGCCGAGCTACTTTCAGGATCTCAATTTCAAATTCAGTGTAAGTGATAAAATCTGCAGTCCTCATTCCGTTCACCCGAATTTAATATTTAGCACCGAGTTATCCTGTAGTGCATTGAGTCGACGTCATTTTCGCAAAAAATTCCCCATTTGCATCACAGGGTGTTTCTTCCCTGCTTAAGAGATTTTAGCCAGACTGAGAGAAAAGCACTGTAATTAAGTCTTACGTAAAGTTTATTTTAGAACTTCATAATATTTCTAGAATATGTTTTGTGCGCCATATAGACAACCTCACAGTAATTCTATACACCACTTTGACCTGTTCAATAAAGATTAACAGTTTCACTCACAAACATCAACCACCTGCAGGTATCAAAAGGGTGGAGGGTGTTTGGGGAGGAGAGGGCAGTCCGCAGGGAGTCCTGCTACACTCCCCTCACACACCTGTCTTCTCTATGAAACCCCAAACTCTACACATGCACCAATGGCCAGGTAAGACAGGAGGCCTATAGCTGCCTGTAAACTGAGACCGGAGCTGGTAAAACGACACTGAACTCTCGGGATCTCTTTCCTGCCTTTACCCCCACACACGCAACCCAACTTTGTTTACTGGTTGTAATCCATTTCCTGACTTTATGCTGGTCACGTCCGCTCATCGGAGAGGGGGGGGGGGGTTCTACAGAAATGAATGCCACAGAGAGTGGCCAGCAAACAGCCGGATATAGGCTCTGGTATCTCATAAAGTCATTGAGAAAAAGGTGGTCACGCTGTGGGAAGCTGCCAGCTCATTCAGGATACCAACATCCTATATTGTGGCCTTGTGACATGGCAGTTTCATTCCAAAATGATGAGCAATGCTATGCCTGCGTGTCAAAGGCCAATTATTTATTTTAGGAAAAGGAACAAACAGGAAAAGGGCAGAAAAACATCTTCCCCGGCTGAAATAAAAACACACTCTAATATGTGTATGCACACAAAACTCACCTATCTGGCAGGTCTTTCCTTCCCACTGAGGGAGGCACACGCACTCGAATCCATCCTTCAGGTTAATGCAAGTTCCACCATGAGAACATGGACTGGAAGCACAGTCATCCAAATCTGAGGAAAATACTCAGGTAAGTGACTGACTGATCAAAAACCCGATTTTCATGGCTGGAAATCACTTTCATCATATAAAAATAAAAATGTGTGTAGAAAAGAAATGAAGACACTCACTGGCACAGGTTGGATTATCCCAGCCTGGAGGACACTGGCATTCAAACCCTGCTGGAACCTCGCGGCATGTACCACCATTTGCACAAGGACTGGAAACACAGGCGTGCTCAGCTGAAGAAGCAATAGTGTGGAAGAAAGGGAAACATTAATTTCATATGAGATATGTTTGGGTATTTTTTTCCTGTTTTTAAAAGTGTATTGTTAAAAAAAATAACAAATAAAAAAATACAAGTCTCCATTTGTCTTGCTGGATGCTTTCCCTACAAATTGTAAATAAGTTCACAGAAAAAGTGCCATGTATTTCTGATTAGCAAAACAAAGGCCAGTAAAGCTGAGAGAGGAGGCGGCGGCAGCAGCGGAGGAGAGGGCAGAAAATATGCTGTACATGGAAGGCCCACCTCCAGGGAGTGGATTCTCTCTCACCTATCTCACAGTTCTTTCCAGAGAAGCCCTCTGGACAGGCACAGTGGTACTCATCTGGCTGGGTGTTCATACAAGTTCCTCCGTTAACACAAGGCTGATGGCGACCGCAGTAATTCAGATCTGGAGCAAGAACAGCAAGGAGATGCACAGTGAAGTGAAATGACAACTCAAGGTTGCAAAGAGAAGCACAGAAAATCTATGAAATCTTTTTTCACTTTACGCTATATTTTCAACCAGGTAGAGAGAAGTTTGATATTAAGTGATAAGTGAATGTTCAGAAGGAACATGAGGATTAGAACTTCACCACTCAGAAACAAAAATCAAAGATGACAGCTGTTGCCACACATGTGTTTATGATGTTTCACATCAACCTTAGACACGGGTACAGAGGCATACTGCCAAATATGAGTTAACGCAGGTCAAAATAATGTTTTTACAAAACTGTTCCTGGTTGAACTGAATACTAGAATTTTATCTGTATTGGTATATTCTGAAGTGACACTACTAATAATTCTCTTTAACAATTACAAGTGGAACAAACAGCTCTCGTCTTGTTCCGCTTTTTATCCCGTTGGAGCAGAGAGCTCCCAGAAAGCTCGTCAGATTCCTCAGTCAGCAAGAAGCACCAGCTGTCCACTTTGACAGGAAGCACAGTGTTTTCTCAACCCCTCTGCTGCACTGCATTAAAATAAATTTTACTGTATTCAGACCACTAGCTGTGTAGACTTAGTCTGCTTATCTGTATAAATGCAGTTTTTCACAATTATATTCTTTGCTTCATTATTTTAAAGCTCCCAAAAATAAACTAACTGATCGCCGCACACCAGCTTTAGGCTAAAAGCCAGGTCACCCTAAAGGCTGGTAAATAAATGAGCAGGGGGATCAGTCTCCGCTGGGGATCTTAGGGCCCATTCTCATCCCCTGAAGAGCCCTGTGTGACGAAGGGATGTGGGGGGGTGGAGATCGGGTGTCCCTGCTGTCGCTCAGATCACACAAGCAGTAAAACTATCCAGCCGCCGGTCTCCACTCAGAGAAAATGAGCAGTAAATATAATTCAGACCTCATAAACAGTGTAATTCTGTAATAACTGAATAACTATAATAATATAAAGATAAATGTAACTCCTCAATGTTAATGGGTCAGGGTGTGAGAAGCTTGCTCATCTATTACTCATGAAATCCAAGAAACTGTACCTGGAGGGGGAGCAGAGGAACGACAACAACGACTCACCCTGCCTGGTGTTGCGAGTCCCTGTGAATACATTTTGTAAAAAAATAAAAAAATAAATAAACAGCATTTCTTCCATACCTTTTTCGCACATCAGACCACCCCAGTTCTGTTGGCAGTTGCACTGCCAGGGGGCGTTGCAAGTCCCGTGGACACAACCAGGATGAAGCTCACATTCATCACAAAACTGGCCCTTCCAGCCATATCGGCACCTGCCAAACAAGAACACAGCCATGAATAATTTCCCTTTAACAGCTTCTTGAAAAATTGTTGGTTTCATGGTCCGAATCCTAATATAGTGAAATCACCCATCGGTGATGAATCAATCTTTTCAAAATATCTACATAAAACAATCTGCAACTTATGTCCAACAGTTTTGAAACTGATATGTTTTATGCTTGATTATAAATCACCACAACCAAACTAGCGTCTGTTAAGAACAGTTCTTAAAGACACCCATTAGGCTGTGAGCTGCTGTAGCTACTAATGATGCACAAGTGACAGACAGCCCGTGGAAACAAACCTAATATTGTACCTGCTATAGTGTCAACACATCCCATGGACTTCTGCCAACTAATCTTAGTAGAGGGTGACATTCCGGGGCAGCAGGGGTTAAGGATACTTCCAGTAGCTACTGTGCATTGGGTTAGAGTATGCGGGTGAGGCGGATTTGGGGGCTACAAGGGTGACGTGATGTTTCTGAGAGTGCGTGGCTGGAGGTGATTGTGTGTATACAGTGTTTATGCGCAGCAGTCTGACGCTTCGGGACTGTACTCGGCTATTCCAAGGCTGAAATGTTGTCACGGCAGCTGTCTTGTCAATTGGCTGCTATTTTGAGCCCCTTGCAGACGGCACCGCTGCCTCTCTGAGCTTTCAGCACCCCCTTCCAACCCCCTCTTCCAGCCAGTCTCAGACTGTGGGGTCCGGGGTATCAGGGTAAGACTTGGCATGCTTCATCCACTGTATTCAATTACCACCAGAGAGCTTAACAGCAATTTGGCAATAACACTAAAAAGAACACGGAGACTGCTTTAAGGTATCCAAAGAGTAAATCTGTAGTTAGTCCTTATTGATATAATTAATCACAAATGTGAAACTTATGAAACTTGGCAAAACTCCATATAGAAGGGTTACAATTAATATCTAAGGAGTTCTTAGGAACACTGCAGCAAACCTCTTAAATATGTCAGAACAAGCCTAATGCGGGCTAATAAAAAGCCTCAATACTGTGGTGTGACAACAGGCACGTACTAGCCTTTGTGTTTCTCAAAAGCCCGTGGCAGACGAGGCAAAGCCCATAAAACCTTGATGAAATAAAGGGAATAAAGGGAGATGGCAAGGGATTTGATGCAAGCTTTCTGTGACCTGAGGCATCATTAAATTCATGCCGCTGCAGGAAGTCTCTTTACTGCTGCTCTTCCATTGATGTCACACTTCCTGTTGACTGCAACTTGACATTTTGTATGACTAAGAAGAATGCGCTAACTAGAAAAAGGACGGCACAAGAAAACACCATTCCCTCATTCCTCAGCTTTTGGCCAACTCTCTTTCCTAACACGTGGAGGAGAGCATTCCCCCCCCGATACAGCAGGTGAAAGACTGGGGTGGCGAAATGACGACGGGATGTACCACATCCTGGAAACGTGGATTCACTGGGACATCCAACGTCACTTTATCTAATTGTCGTTTCCACTTTGGGAAATGTACATAACACGGCGGGATATTCATTTCCGCTCCTGTCCCTTGCCCTTCGAGGAGGACTGCAATGCGGATGGGGAGAGCATCTGACAATTCCCAGCACGTTTTGCAGTGGTCAAATTCACACACCAAGACGAGTCCTTTTCTTCAGTCCGAGCTGCAGAAGCCTGATGAGGTGCTTGGTATTCTAAGGAGGATTTCGGATAGCTAAAAATACAAGAAGGCTGGTACGGCATTGCCCTTTTCTTCTGAACCGAGGTGGAGATGCCCACGAGGGAGGGAAAGGCTGACACACACACACACACACACACACACACACACACACACACGCGTGCACACAAAATACAACAGGCTTCGACAAGTGAAGGTGCCTCTGCTTTAAATCCAGCCTTTCCACCCCCACAGATTTAGCTCCTCTGCTGAATTTTTAAGAAATACCGATGCAATTTTGTATGTTTTAAAAACAAAACAAAAAAAAAAACAACAACCAACATTTCATCTAAAAATGCATGCGCAATATGACAGTGATCTAACATTTTACGACATGTGATACATTTAGAAAATTACAGTGCCAGAAACAGAAAGATTCTGCATTTATGATTCACATTTTTGCATATCAAATAAAATCTTCCCAGTCATCTTACTTGCATTCGCCTGGGACACTGCATGAGCCATGTAACAGGTTGCAACCTTGCTTGCAGATCGCTAAGACAGAAAAAGAGAAACAACGTGTTCATTTAAATGCATCTCTTCCCATCCCATGCAACCCAGGTAATTAAAGAAGTGGAGGAAAGGGGTCACCAAGACAGAAAGTGGGTGGTAGAGACGCTGGTTTGTTTTGTTTGCCTTCATCCTAACAAGTGCAACAAGACATGAAAATTCATGGCACCCTGACTAGACAACTTTATGGCCTGCATAAAACACCACCCTCTTTTTTTTTTTTTTTTTAAAAAAACAAGCCAGGCCTTCTGCGCTCTCCTCCCCTTTTTCACCCTTCATCTTCTAAGGTCAGTTGGATGATTTATTGAGGGCCCCCCACTCTCTCCAACACCACCCACAAGCATGACCTCAACACTGCTAGACTTTAGAATAATGACCTGACCAAACATTCTACGTTTATTTATGCATACTGCACATTTCTGCCATCTTACTTTAATAATTATAGCCTTGATGATCAGTAAAGAGTAAACTGATCGGACTCCCTTTGAAAATCTGAACCCAAACTTAATAGAAACAGTTTAAAAGACATCTCATTAAATAGATCTCAAAAGGCAGCGAATCTTTACAATTCATTCACGCATTTCTTTTTATTTTTGAAGACATTTTAAGGTGCTAGGAGCTCACCTGTTGTGCAGTCGTGGCCCATCCAACCATCCAGGCACACACGGGTGCCTAAAGGTCCACAGCGGTAGTGGCCAAAGTAGTCGTCACGAGGAGAACACTGTATGTTGCACGTGCTGGTGTAGTAGTTTTCGTCACACTTTACCCGGATACGATAAGTGATGCGAGCCACGGGCCCATCGTGCATGATTGTCTGCCAGGGGTCACCAGGGTTGATCATGCCAGTGCGGGCGCTGCGCTCAATCAGCAGGTCCTCCTCAGCTGAAACAAAACGGGGTGAATGTGCGATTCAGACTCACTTCCTTCTCACCACACATAAAGCAACTCAACCTGACACTGGATCAGATATTAGTCCACTCAAAAGGTGTCCTGACAAAACGTCCATCTATACGGCAGTTTAGTTTTTTGACTTGATCATTGAGGTCAACAGAGTCGACACAAAGTGTAAAGCTCAGACGATGACATTTCATTATTGCCTTTCTCTTGTTATGTTCAACACTAGCTTTAGAAGCTTTTATTGGACTTGTGCTAAAATAATATCCTGCCATAAACTGAATTAATATTTCACTTCATTTCACTTTCACACCTTTTGTCTGCTGAGAGCAGCTAAACTTACAGTGAGAGGAGGGAGAGAAGAGTCTAACGTGACTAGATCAGAGAGGTATGCAATAGGTAAATTGAAAGTAGTGTTTAAGTACAGCCTGATGTTGCCTGGTGCCATGTAAAGAATCATTCCCAGCTTTTTCCTCAAAGTGAGCACCACAGCTTATTAGTATTCCCTACACGAACACCAACTACAGTCACTCATTTTAAATTTTTAGGCGGTCCCAGACTTCAGTGCATTTTACCAACTTTATGAAGCTCTGTAATGCTCCATATTTATTCTCAACCCTCAAGTTAATTTGTATAATTCACAGTTCATAACAATCCTCATAGCTCGAAGTAAACCCGCATAGTTCTCCCCGTTTATAAAAGCAAGACATTTCAAGGTCTCTCTTTTTAAGCCAGCTTTCTTCTGATTGGCTGCCCTCTTGCAAATCGATGGTCTGACCAGCAAGTGACGGAGCCTTCTCTGCTCACCACCAGAACTGTGTCTGAGTTTGCCATTAAGGATAGCGAGGATGTCTTTTGAAAATACAGAGTCAAGGCTATGGGGGGGGGGAATCTGGCTGGTATTGAGCATTTACAGAGATATTAATTCTGAACGTTTGTTGCACAGGCGGTGCCTGCACGTATGGTAGACTCCACATTTAAGCCAGATTTAAAATGATCGACTAGTTTAACAGACAAAATACAGAAAAGTGTAACAGATCCGATTTCAGATTCTGACAAACACTCGGACCACATAAATAAGGCACACATGCTGTGCAATAACCAACAAATACCCACTACCCAGGCTGAGATCCTCACACTTTTTCTTTCCCCTGCCTATTGCACGCTTCTGTCCGTCTGTTACAGACCGAGCCACAGCATCTAACAGAGTGTCAACAGTAGACTTTATATAAAAGATTACAGTTGGAGACTTTAATATGAGAATCTCTTGGACCTGACTTGCATCTTCAGTCACTCTCAGGAGGTTTTTTGAGATACTGCAGTTTGTGGCACTTTCTGGTGGCTTCGCTTTTCAGCATCAGAGGTCACTGCTTTCTGTAAATAAGCTTCCACTTGCCATCATCAACTTAAAAGGTAATGAAGATCAATCAAGCACTTTAAAAAAAACAAAAAAAACAACACTATCTAAGGAGTGAAACCTTTATGCAGAAGTCTCTCCATTAACTAAGTTGTTTAAAGGCTGAGGTATACTTATCAGGATGACTAAAAACTAATTTATTTGAAGCAATTTGAAAATCGGACGCTGATGTGGACCCTCTATCCATTCGTACAGTCACACTCAATTGTACCCACTGAATTTTAAGTGCGCTCTTGAAATTCATTGTCAATTTTCTGGCAACAGCACATATCATCTGTGAGCTTTAAACGAGCACCATCATGAAGCATCTGTGAAACATTTAAAGCCAATCATCCTCTAGCATTCAAACAGTCTACTTCTGAGGGGCAGAATGAAATAACAGGCAATCTTTTCACAGTGGAGTCAAAGCTGGAGAACAATCTCTGTGGAAATATGGGGGCCTGCGACTTCCTCCGTGGCTTTGGGCTCAATGCTCCAAAGACATTTTAAAGCAGGAACACGCACACACACACACACACACACACACATTCCTCTGCTGGAGTCTGACAATGTCAGACAAAATTAAGCAACAATAACAGAAATAACCCTCGGTGGTTGCCAGATAGAGAACAATGGGCTCGGGGCCCAAGCCGGTCTCTGCTACTAAGCGTCTAAACACTGAGCCCGGCCACCCAGTCCAGTCCACTTCCTGCTCGATAAACACAAGGAAAACAGCCGGCGGCCTTTCCTGAGGACACCGGGGGAAGGGAAGAGGGGTGCTATGGAGGACATGACGCTGGAAGAGAGGAATCTCACTGACATCCTCGACACACTGGTAGGCTCTTACGTAGGACCAGACATGACCCCGATGCTGACTCAGGCCAGACAAGTTCAACTTAATGTCTCAGACTGAGAATGAAGAATCCATCTGTGCAAAAACAACAAATAGCTCAATGACACGCAAAAGAAAAACTTAAGTATCGCTGGCTCATGACAAGTGTGAACTATGGCTACACTTGGAGTGGCGTGTCTCCAGAATATTCAACTTTGCAGTAGCTTGCAAATGCAGACCCTGTTCTGTTCTGCAAACTCTCCAAAGTCTCCACCTGCTACAGGTTCTAGTTAGAGTGCACCTCTAGTACACAGTGAGTCAGAGTACACCACTGGGGTGAGGAGGTCTCTGAAGAGGCAAGTGAATGACAAAGGAGCACTACAACGGGGACGAACAGGGAAACATGAGGAAGGAAGACTGAATATGTCCCAGCATTGATTCATTAGCATTGGTGTCCATATTAATACAAGCACTGTTTTTTCAGCACTACCAACTGACTTAACAGGCTCCTTTTTGTGTTTTTTCTTGCAATGGTTACAATGGCTTCAAGCTGCAGTTCCACATGTATCCATTAGTATAGATCAAACTACGGATTTGGTTGTTGCACCCCAATTCTCACCAATATGTGGTGTTCTAGCGTTGGCCCAGTATAGATCTGGTGTAATAGAACTGGTGCTTCAATGTTCATGATCTTGGCTCTACTAAGGCCTACAGACCAGTCAGTGCAACCAAAGAAGACAAAAAACCCGCTGATAGGTCTCTAAATTTGTGTGACAGGCGCTTTAGTTTTGGTGGAAGAAAATCTTTTACCATCAGTAACAAAGGGGTTCAGATGATGCTTTTCTGTTCTGTAAATCTAGATGAAGGCTTGACATCTTAGAACATCGGTCCCCCAACCCCCGGGCCACAGACCAGTACAGGAGTCGCTTGGTACCAGGCTGCGAGAGTTCAGGCTTGGGTGTGAAATTTATGGTTTTCAGGTTGTTGTTTTGTTTTTTAAATTATTATTAACTCGGTTTCTCTGGGTCTTTTCCTGTGTTGTAGTTATTTCTTTCAAAATAAGACACATGTATGCATTACCATAGCGACCAGAGAGCATTAAGGGGCAGAGGGGACAATGTTACTCTCAATGTTATTGGCGCATTTCAGGGGGACGCTGCTAACAAAGTTACAATTACACAGTGAATTCACGTTTATTATTGTATTTACAAAATACCACAGTTTGTCTTTGTTGTATCATTTTATTTTGTTGTATTTATGGACGACACCTTAAAGGCCAGTCCGTAAAAATCATGTCTGACATGTAGCGCAAAAAGGTTTGGGGACCGCTGTCTTAGAACTACTGGAGAATGAGGTCCATGTCTTTCTAACAAGTCTCCCCATTTATAAAAAGTTGCCTTACCATTACTCATGAAATAAACCTACTTCTAACACGTTGCTATGAAAAGCACAAGACACCACTGCTAATGAAAAGATAAGACAAGACAAGTTCACGTGTGACCTGTCCAACCCTCCCACCTGCTGAGAAAAGCTGTAATAACTGCCCAACTCTGACATAAGCTTGCTACTACTGCAGACTGGCCCACCATCCTCCACAAAAGAAAAAACCAAACGTGTTTGTTCCAGACATTGTCATTTCTTGAACTTACTAAGGTAAGAAATTTGGGACATAAAATCCAGTGACATCTGAAAATGACAATGAAAATAAAATTAAATCTAAGCTGCCTGAGATTCAAAGGACAGTATAATTAAGGTTTTTCTATAGTTTGGCAAATGATGAAAAGCACAGCATTTTCCTTCTCATCTTGGTGAGGAGTCCCATGTCTTGGGGGAAAAAAAAAAAAAAAAATCTTCATCTTCTTTATAGCGATTTGGCTGAGACCAAAGCGAGAGTAGTTGGCAGATAATCAACTGGTCTGTTACTCAACAACTGGGCCGTACCACCTTCATCAGAACTAATTACCGTAAATGTACACAATCAGTGCAGAAACAGGAGACTACACAGGGCATGCACAGTCTAATCAAAGAGTGATGATGTCAAAATCTATTTCTTCTCCATTGTCTGCATTCTCAAGTGGAAGTGTGTTTGATGTTATGGACAAAACAGGATGCAGTGACCTCATATAAACAGAATAAGCTCAAGACTGGACAAGACAGGATGGCATGATTCAATACAGAAATTAATTCACCCTTGCATGCACATAAGGTTAATAGAGACACATGAAAAATGACACCTTTCTCACAGATCAAAGTTACATCTAGACATGCAGACATTATATGCCTCAATGTGTCCTCTTCCTCCTAGACTGGGCTACTGCTCAGATGGGGAAAAAAAGAGGCTCTACAGGAGTCCACCCAGCGGACATAACCAAAGGAAAACAGGATACAGCTGGTCAAAACTGACTGCCACAGCCAACATAGCCAAGGAAAACCAAGGCTTGTATTCTTTATGAGGAGTCTTGTCCTGTAATTCGTGACCTCTGCCATTAAGCCATCAATAAACTATGTGTCACAAAGTATTTAAGAAATTTGGAGGATATGCTGGAAAGATCTTTGGCACATTTTAGTGGAAATGATTAAACATAATGTAGCGTCATGTTTTTTTTTAACTGTAAGATGTTCTCATTACTGTATTAAAATAAATAAGGAAAAAAATACATAAAAAAAAGAAACCCTTACTACACACACACTGGATTGCAATCAAATCAAATTCGAAACTCAAGTATTGATGTCGATACTAAACTCAAAGAAATCCAACGCCAGTCAAGATTTGTACTAAACACTTCTTACTGACAAACGCTACATAGTAAAATCCAAAGCAGTATGATGAAGGTGAGGTTTAAACTTACTTTCTCGTGTCTTGTTGTCCCAGTCCCAGGCCTCTACAATCAACGTGTATGTCCGCTGAAGGAAAAAGCAAAAACAAAAAGACATTAGTCACATGGTATTTATGACTCATTATTTCAGTTTTGGGCAGGTGGGCCTAAATGAGCTTGTTTAGTGTTGGCCATTGACTGGTATAATGTGAATAACAGGAGTCTTCAGGATCATGCACATGTAATAGTTGTGTCTATAAGCTGCATTTTTGCAGCTCTTTTTCCTTCTACAAACAGAAATCAATGCATTTCCAGTAAATGAAGTTGCAAACAGAGTCTCAGAGTACACCTTATATTCCAATGCACGCACAAATGTTTGGGACTATTAATCACAGGCCACACTGTAATAACTGCTGTACAATGAAAAGTTCCACTTTATTCAGTGATTACCGTGACCAGTCCAATTGTGACATGGCTGTTGTAGCGAAACCCAGTGAGCAATGCAAGACAGAATTTCAGTTGATTTTACTCGTCTTGAAGGTAACCTTGTTGACATTTAAATCTAAAGACAAAGAGGAATTGAGGACAATGAAATATTCTCCAACCAGTTTTTGTTTTTTGGAACTAGAGGGGGGAAAAAAGGGAACATTAAAACAGCCTTTGTCATTTTGTTCCTAAAAATCACAGCAGTACGCATTAATAATGACAGTCGTTTCCTAAAAACAGACCGAACCGTGGAGATGATCATTTTAGCCTCAGCTGTGCTGCTCTCAAACATCAGCATGCACGGATACAAAAATCAATTTTACTGCTACTACAGCGTCTCATATGGACCTCGGCCCCATTATCCAAGGGTATGCTGAAGTTACTGCTGAATCATTGGGTTTCATTGACAGTGTAAGACAACAATTACAACTGTGGAAAAGAGCCAAGACAGGGAACAGGACTTCGATGTGAAAAGTACATGACAGGAAGATAATGCATCGCATTGGGTATTGGGATTATAGCTGGTTTAAAAGAGTTTTTGTACCCTTAGAGCGGTCCAAACACATCAAAACGAGATAAGAGCCATTCAGGAATACAACTACAAGATATAGTACATGTCAGGCAGGCTATGATCACATGTACACATTTCAGTCTAATGTGCAAAAGTGATGTCTAACCAAAGTCAATCTTTCCTGCTTCAGTCTCCAGTTTTTAAGTTTGCCTTTTATCAAAAAAGAAATAAAAAAAAAAAAAAGAAGAAAAATCTGCAAAAATGTACGGTCACTTTGCCAGTATAAGCTGTGTGAGATGAATTGGCTTTATCCTTGGTTGTCAGACAGTGAAAGAAAGCAGCAGCTAAGGGGATTATCTTGTTTCTGTCCAAGTTATGCTTTACAGTTAACCAGTACGACAGCACTACATGGGTTTTACACTCTGCTGAAATTATTGTGCAATTAATAATAAAGACGAGCAAAGATACGATTGATGATCTATTGATGGAGTTTCATTAATGTGAAAGCTCCTCTGGTTGCTTAACTCCCCTCGACCAATGGACAGACGGGACCGCCCACTGATGAAAGTCAGTTTATGGACTGAAATTGTTTTATTCACACTTAATGGAAACCAGACGACCGTTTGCGTTTTAAGCAACGATGCAGCAAAAACTTGAGCATTCTGCACAGCTGATGCTGCTCGAGTAAACACCCGCACACAAAATAACCAAGCTAACCAGTATCACAGTAATCTAGCTGGTGTGCTGCAGGGCACACTGCTAGGCAACTAGCTGACCTAAATAGCACTCGTTACGTCACCGCCAGTGACCGTTGTAGTAGCCAGTGTGACTGCTGTGATCTCTAGTGTAATGTCAATGACGGGGCATTACTCTCAGTGTGGATGGAAGAAGAAAAAAAAAGATAGTAGTATTTGAGCTACTTAAAGTTGAATGAAATGAGGAGGAGAAATCAGGGAGGGTCACTGTAAAACATGTGCAAGTCTGCCTACGTTGTTATTCTGGGGGACCAACAAGCTGGTAGGCTAGTTGCTGCTGGGCTGTTGGATTAAAGAGGCTTGTCTGGCTGTGGGTGGCAGCGGGAGGAAGGGGAGGGGAGTGTTATTGTGGAAGATCATTGGTGAAAAGAGAACGGGATGGAAGATGACAGGATAGGTGTGAGCGGGAGGGCTTGGGTTAATGAGGATTGGGAGTGCAGGTGTATGAGATTGTATGTATCCAGGCAAGACAACATTAGAAAAGAAAAGAAGGCTGGCGCGAAGAGATGGAAAGCTATAGTTAGGAGTTAAGAGAAATCAGGGGATCAGGGCATGGGCAGACTCGTGCTGCTGTTGCCGGAAGCTTTGCCAACCCATCCGACCGCAGACACACAACAGATGCGGGCTCAAACGTGGATTATTATACATGAACGTGCATCATCCCACGACACGTAGACGGCTTCTGACCTTTCTAAAAACCCACCCTCCCCCAACAACAAAAGGGTGGGCTGGCCGACCCACTCAGAGCATTTGGATGGGTGGGTGCATATGCCAGTGGATATAAAGAGGAACTATAAGTGGCAATACATGCATTTGGGACAGGAGATCTTAGAATGAAGCCTGTCTGTTTCGTGAGACTATGCAGAGAGACGAACCTCGTCGTGACGCACATTCAAAGATTAAACAAAGAAGGGGTGGTCATACCGTGACTTGCACCTTTTAGGGTTTACTTTAAGTCCAGGCTTCCTTACATGCCTACATGTAGTAAACGTTTGAGTAAACAGTCCCGAATCGCGCATGCTGAGGATGAGCAAAGCCATGGACTAGTCTGGTTTCCCACAGACCGTCCCCGTCTGTGATTAGCTGGATTAAGTGACAGCTGCCCAAATGGTTGGAACAAGATAGATGGATGGGCAGAGGGATAAAGGGAAGGAGTGGGGGAGGGAAGGGGGTGAAGGCAACTGAACAAAGACCCTTGTCCCAACACCGTAACTCACCCCCATTCCAATCAAAACCATTGTCCATGAAGAGACACAGTCAGCACGGGGACAATTAGTGTCAGCATGTGTGCTACTGAGCCTGAGCAGCACAGTTGAATTGCTGAAGTCAAAACAAGCCGCAAGGCTCCTGTGCAAGTCCTAATCATATAATCAGACTCAGAAAGTATCCTAACATCATTAACCTGCCCTTTTTTCAACTCAAAACACATCAGCCATGTCTGACAGCGTGAAATACATCATTTGAGACTACAAAGTATCTGCAGTCAAATCTCCAAAACCCTTCCTAATGGATTAGAGGATTTACTTGGAGAAATCCTAGCTTTCAAGTCAAGAAGGGGGAGCAATGGTAAGAAACAAAGGATGTTAGTTGGATGCACTCAGTGACTTTGAGGTAATGATGCACTGACATTTAAGGAAAAAAAAATAATAATCATTATCTATTCCAGGTAGTTATTTAATTCTCCACAGTAGACCACAATGATGATAAAAGCAAAGGATGTACCACTAGTGATGTCTGGGGAGAGCTACAGGTGTAGGTTCCCACGCCAGACGATGGGTGGATGGAAGGTGGCTGTTGAAATAATAAAAGGGACGGGGAACAGAGAGAGGTGGCAGTGGGAAGTGGAAGCCGGGGCAGGTTGGGGTCACTAAGCATGGGATCTGCACGCTTCTTTTTCAAAAGAGGGGTCAGCCCTCTGTATGTGGGGGCGACGTGCGGGTTTGCATTCGAAGAATACTGAGAATGTGAGATCCAGGGCTGGTGTGTAATCCCATGCAACATCCCCGTCTGCCAACAATTCCGTATCGTTGGAGGGGCGCGTCTGCTTTGTAGATCACAGCTTTGATTGACTAATTTCTGTCCCTTGGGGAAAGTTGGAATATCAACTGAGCTTTGAGAACGACTTTCACATAGTTACTATAAAAAAAATAAAATAAAATAAAAAAAAAAGTCTCAGATTAGCACTCGCAATTTAAAAGGAAACAAACAAACAAACAAACAAAAAAAAAAGCCCCGTCTGTGTCCTTGAGCTATTTTTGTCTCGCATGTCCACTGAAAGTAGCCTACATGCCCACCTCCAAGCTCGTCTACAGAGAGTTTAACTGATGTCTCCTGATTTATTACCTTCTGATGGGACAAAAAGGTCATCACAATTCATTCCATGGCCAGTAATCGCCACATGTAATCTTCATTAATCTGCGATGTCAATCCCAGCTTTTGATGTTAATAGGGCCGAGTTTACACTATTCTAGTGTAAAGGCACCACACTAGAAGTCCTTCCTAGACTGGACACAAGAGCATGTGACACAGGATCTCTGGAAGAACTGCTAAAAATCTGGATTAATGAGAGATATGACATGCTATGTCACCCTTAATATTTAGTACCAGGTAAGGTGAGAAATAACAGAATTCATCTGGTATTGCCATTTCCTAATGAATCAGGATCAGTAATCAAGCAACCCCAAAGCAGAGAAGTTTCCAAGGGAAGGAAAGCATGCTCGGGTATAGGATTTTGGGAAGCCATTTCAGGGTAAAACATTTGAAAAAAATAAAATAAAAATGTGAGCTTCCCATCACTTCTGCCAGTAGAGTGGACTTCAAATGTAAATCTCTCAGACTAGCTCCTCAATCTGTTCAGAGGCAAGGATCAAAGACCTCCAGTGGCAAAGTCCTTGCATATGTTGGCAGGCAGAAAGGTTGGATGGTTTTTGACCCTTCTTGACATCAGTGTTGAAACAGCACGGTGGCCATTCCAGGATTCCAGGTATGAAAAACTCTAAAATAACCTAGTAGGAAATTAATTTTCAGTCATAAAGACAATTAGAATCCTGAGCACACAAATATATGATTAGTGTCGTCAACCTAGCAAATATTTACGACATAATCCTGTGATTTTAACATCTTTAAAGGAGGAGAAGCTGGCAAATAAATCACAGGATTATGTTGGGTTTATTTTTTAATGTCCTCTAGCAGTCAAGTTAGGCATCATTTATTTTCACCATTGCAACCACAGGTGTAGTTGAGGAAGCAGATTACAGACAGTCGCATCTCTCCGGGTAGAGAGGTGGAGGGCTATGAGTTCTGCACGCCTGCCAGAGTCGTGTGCCAAGAGATCTC